AATATAAGCAGATCTGGGTTTGGATAAAGGATCAGAAAAAGTCATTTGAGGATCAATTGGGGAAATTTGATCAGAGTATTTGTTATATTCACGAATTATTGTTCATTTTTTTAGGTATGATAATGTTATTGTGGGCAAGACAGAATGTGCACATTTTTTAAAAAAGATTATTTACTTATCTGACAGACAGAGATCACAAGTAGGCAGAGAGGCAGGCAGAGAGAGAGGAAGGGAAGCAGGCTCCCTGCTGAGCAGAAAGCACGATGCCAGGCTCGATCCCGGGACCCTGAGATCATGACCTGAGCGGAAGGCAGAGGCTTTAACCCACTGAGCCACCCAGGCGGCCCTGAAATGTGCACATTTTTAAAGATGCATGTTAAAGCATTGAGGGGTGAAATGTCATTAGGTCTGTATTTTAAAACCCTTCAGTAAAAAGCCACAGGCAATATTTTTTTAAAAGTCACTGCTCTTGGGAGAAGAAAGAACTCACAATGGTTCACTTATTGTGGCGCTCTCTTTTGCCTGCTCTGCTCTACTGTCTCCTGGGCAAAACCTGCCACCCACCACTCAGTAAGGCAAGACTCACAGCAATAGTCGGGGAAGCAGCCCTTACCTGCTCTTTTTCCTGTTTTCATCTCTCACCATAAGATTCCTCATAATGTCCAAAGTCCTCAAAACTTTCATTTTGATCAAAGTTTGAAAATCACTTTCTCAATTCGATCCCAATTCACAAAATCAGAGCCTTCCCATCTTAGACACATGGCTGCATTGTATTAGATCACAGTATTTTTTTTTTAAGTTTGTTTGACTGCTAAGGCATCCGTTTTACGGGATTAATAAAGGGAATAGTTCTTAAGCAATGGGATGGGTTTATCTTTCCTGCTCCACAGACATACCAGCTGTACCATGCTTATAAGTAGGCCCTTCGCTCTAAACAGTGTAGGAATTAGCTTGCCAGATATAATAAGAAAATCAAGTACTCTCTTGGCCTATAAATTTTTTCTCCTTCTCTTCTTCCCTCCACTTCCTCCTTTGTTTTTTTTATTTCCAATCCTTTCTTATCTGTTACAAGTACAGATGTGCCTATAGTCCAACGAGCCCCAAAGAGTGGTTGAGCAGGTGCTGATGTAGAACAAAGATACACTGTGAAAAAAGTTATCACAATATGGCTTTTTTTTTTAAGATTTTATTTATTTATCTGACAGAGAGAGATCACAAGTAGATGGAGAGGCAGGCAGAGAGAGAGAAGGAGGGAAGCAGGCTCCCCGCAGGGCAGAGAGCCCGATGCGGGACTCGATCCCAGGACCCTGAGATCATGACCTGAGCCGAAGGCAGCGGCCTAACCCACTGAGCCACCCAGGCTCCCCACAATATGGCTTTTTTGAAGATAAAAGAAAATCAACGATTCTTTTTCTACAATATTACTAACTCTATTTCCTATGCTGTACTTTTCATCTCTGTGACTTATTTACTTTTTTTTTTTTTTTAAGATTTTATTAGAGAGAAGGGGAGAGAGAAAGCATGAGCAGGGGGCAGGGAGAGAGAGGGATGAGCGACTTCCCGCTGAGCAGGGAGCCCGATGCAGGGCTCCATCCCAGGATCCTGGGATCATGACCTGAGCCAAATGCAGGTGCTTACCTAACCCAGGCACCCCGACTTATTTACTTTTTATAACTGCAAGTTTGTACTACTTAATCTCCTCTTATCTATTTCACCCATCCCCCTCCCCTGTGGCAACCACCAGTTTTTATTCTCTCTATTTAAGAGTCTGGTATTTGTTCAGTTGTTTGGTTTTTCAGATTCCACATGTGAGTGAAATTAAACAGTATCTGCCTTTCTCTGTCTGACTTATTTCACTTGGCATAACGCCCTCGAGGTCCATCTATGTTGTCACAAATGGCACGATCTCATTCTTGTTTAGGAATGAGTAATATTCCACTGTGTGTGTGTGTGTGTGTGTGTGTGTGTCCATTCTTCTTTATCCATTCATCTATCAGTGGACACTTGGGCTGTTTACATATCTTGGCTATTATAAATAATGTTGCAATAAACACAGGGAGGCATGTATCTTTTTGAATGAGTGTTGTCATTTTCTTTAGGTGAATACCCATTAGTGGAATTACTAGATCATATGGTAGTTCTATTTTTAATTGTTTGAGGAACCTACATAGAGCCTTCCACAGAGGCTGTACCAATATACATTCCCACCAACAGTGCACCAGGCTTCCCTTTCTTCCACATCCTCGCCAACACTGGTTGTTTCTTATCTTTTTGATTCTAGCCATTCTGATAGGTGTAAGGTGATATCTCATTGTGGTTTTGATTTGCATTTCCCTGATGATGAGTGATGTTGATCATTTCTGCATGTGTTGCTGGTCATCTCTATGTCTTCTTTGATAAAATGACTATTCAGGCACTCTGCCCATTTTTAAATGTTTTTATGGAATGCCCATTTTTTTTTTTTAGTGTTTAGTGGTGTAAGTTCTTTATATATTTTGGATATTAACATCTTAACATTTGCAAATATCTTTTCCCATTCAGTAGGTTGCCTTAGTGTTTTGCTGATGGTTTCCTTTGCTGTGCAAAAGGTTTTTATTCTGGTGTAATCCAAATAGCTTATTTCTGCTTTTGTTTCCCTTGCCTAGGGGACATATCTAGGAAAATATTGCTAAGGTTGATGTCAAAGAGATTACTTGCCTGGTTTCTTCTAGAAGTTATATGGTTTCAGGTCTCATATTTAGGTCATTAATCCATTTTGAATTTATTTTTGTGTGTGGTATGAGAGTCTAGTTTCATTCTTTTGCATGTAGCTGTCCAAAGAATTCTTAATTATGGCTTTTAATTATAATCGAGCAACTCCTAATGGTTTGTCATGTAAGTTTTTGGTGTGAAATGGAATTCCAAAAATCGTTATCTACTTTGGAGAAAGAGAGCTGAAAGAAGCAACTGGGGTTTACCTAGTTGAGCAGGTTGGCAGTGGGCAATTAAAGGTGGTAATATCCCAGTTGGATTTCACTGCTACTTAATAATACAAGCTTTTAAGCTGGTGTAGTAGGCTTGCAGGAACAGCTGGCAAAACAGCACTGTTTGTCATTGAGTTTACAATGCAAAATTAGGACTATCTTGTGTGTCAGCGGTTATGCATTTTTAAGCAGATGTCACGGATATTAGAAATAAAACAACAATTGGGATCTAGGCCCTGGAGGTAAAGCCAGGGTAGGAAACAGTCCGTGCTCCTTTTAAATGAAGCTCACCCATGCTCTCAGTATTTAAAAGAGCTCTGGGGTTATATTCAACACATAAGATTTATTATCGTTGTGATCATTTGCCAGGATGCAAAACTCTTTCAGGAAAATAAATTTCTGGGCCATAGTTTTATTTTTTTCTGGAATAATAATAACAGCTATACATTCTAAATAGTCCTAATATCAGATATGTTGTTTCATTGTCCTCACAAACCAGAGAGCTCTAATCTTCCACTTGGGAACACCAGTGACCCTCCTGAGATTCTTGAGGGGAAAAAAAAAAATTTCACAGTTAGCAGAGACTTAACAGGAAAGGAGGTGTGAGACCTTTAAGCTCCCTTTCTCATGACGTTCTGTTTTATTTTCAGGAGAGCCTTTATTATTAGCTGGTATTTTCTTGTCAATGATCTGTCTCCCCCAGTGAGAACATAAGCTCTGAGAGTAGGGACCTGGCGTCATTCGTCCCCGTGTGCCTCCAACGGTGTTTGGCACTGAGAGTGCCAAAATACTCTACAGACAGTGGCCGAGCAGACACAGGGTATGAAGGGCAGTGTGGAAGGTAGGAGCGCGCTGCTTTGGGAAGGTCGTGGAGCCGAGACTGACTGACTACACGGGGGAGTGGTCATCGTGGTTTCATTTCTTCATTCAACAAACCTTTATCGAGAGTCCCCTGGCAACATACAGCAGTGAACAGACTGACACGGCTCCCGCCCTCATTAAACTTCTATTCTACTGGGAGAATAGACATTTAAAAAAAAATCTAGTTACAGATCTTGTCAGGTGTGATCGAAGAAAAACACGGCTAACACCGTTCTAATAAGGGCACTGTGTGATGGCTGCACGACTTGGGTGAATACACGAAAATCCACTCAAGTCCACTTAAAAAGGGTGAATTCGATGGTCTATTAATTATACCCCAACAAAGCTATTATCTGAAAAGGGGTACCGCAGTGGTTATCCCTGTGTTTCTGGTTCCATGGTCCTGCCTCTGACTTTGACTAGCTGTGTCCTCCTGGACAATTTCTCTAACATTTCTGTACCTTGGCTTCTTCATCAGTGAAATGAAAACAATAATAGCACGCCCTCTAGGATCGTTCTGAAGGTGGGTCTAGTTAGTGTTCCCGAAGCACTGACAGGAGGTGAGCTGTTCCCACTTCTGGGGAGTCGGGGATGGAACAGGAATCCAATTGCAAGAACACCCAGCAGGCAAAATCAGTAACCTCTTGAGCTCTAGTCCTTGCCCCCTGGAAACTTCCCTTGGAGGGCTCTGTTCAGAAATTCTAGCTTTGCCCAGTGGCAGCAGTGTAGCCGTTGGTTTATCTGAGGCATGATTATTGGCTAATTTAGAAATGCGAAGGCACTGTATCTTGGTATATTTTGCTTTCTGAAGAAAGCTCTTGTGTGGTAGAAACCCACAGTGTCATGAACATATCTGAAAAAACAGTGGCATGTTCTCTCATTTCGAACACAAAGTAAATTTGCTGCCTTTACTCTGGAAAGTTTTTTTTATTCCTAAAACAGCTTTATTGAGACATAATTCACATACCTTAAATTTACCCTTCTAAAGTGTACAGTTCAATGGTGTTCAGGAGAGCCATGGAGTTGGGCAATCATTGCCACTCTCAAATTCCAGAACATTTCACCATCCCAAAAAGGCACTTGAGATGCCTCAGATGTCCTTCCCCAGCCCCCCTTCCCCCCAGTCTCCCCAATCACTCATCCCCTTTCTGTCTTTATAGATATCTCTGTTCCTACCTTTATTCTTGGAAAGGCATGTGGAAATGTACTGTGCTGTCTTTGGGGTTGCCAAAGTCTACCCTCAGATTCTAGAGGGAAAATAAATGATTTCTGATCAATTACAGTTGGAAGCAACCTAAGTTTAAGAAAAGAAAGAAAAAGAAAATTTAAAATAGAATTTATCTTCACAACTTCACAAATTGGTAATTTTAAAACAATGCTTCCTAGTTAATTTGGATTTTACAGGAAATATTCCATTGTTAATTACAGTGAACTAGACTGACTTTAGCATTTTTACCACTAGAAACCTGCACTTGTTTTATTAAGCATAAGAACTTGAGTCTGATAATGACCACTATTGCACGTAAAAAAGGTCTATTTCTGGCTGAGGTTATATGACCCACAACTGACCAGATTACTACACTATAAAACATTCTTGGGAGAAAAAAATACAACATGCTGTGTTTTGTTTTGTAAAGCCAAATCACAGATTATCACAATGTTAAAGAAGTTCAAAATGCTGGTCTCTAAGCAGTTAGCACTTCTAGTCTTTAAACTTCTGCTATTTTATAGAACTGCCAAGACTTAAGGATCAAAGGCTGGTTAAAGGTCTTCCTTATTAAGCAGTGGGCAGCTCCATGGGCGAGCAGCACAAAAACAAAATAAGATTATAAGAATGACTGTGTGTGGAATGTAGGTCTTAAAACTTTTCATCGGAAAGCAAATCCCCATTCTTTAAAATGGTCAACATAATTAAGATCAGTTAAACTCAACCACAGTGACTCAATCTCTTGACTCTACTGTGATGCCCACGTCCATGAAATTATCGTGAAAAAGCAGTTTGTGGGCTCCTGGTTTCACTTCAACATGTAAAGAGCTTGGAAGGTATTGGGAGGATGGGAGTGATTTAAAAAAAAAAAAAAAAAAAGCTGAACAAAGTGAAAAGCAATTCTTCTTAGATCAATCAGAGAATCAAGGTTACAGGGAAAACTACTGCCCTGAAAACTGGAGAGACAGACAGAGTCAGACAGACACACAGACCTGGATAAAGCTCCAGAGAGGAAGTCTATTGCTGGCGCTGGTATTGGCAAGAACAGTTAGCCTCCACTTACCAGATTGCCAGAGGCTCAGTGTGCCTTAGCTTGAGTGTTATAAGCCCTAAGGGGCCAAGGCTTGGTGGGACAGAGGGAGGCCTACTTTCCTGAGTTTTACCTCTACGAGCCCCACCATGTTCTCCCTATGAGGTCTGAAGAAAATCCCTTCCTGCCTCTAGCAGTGGGGAGAGAAAAGAAACCGGTTCAAACTACTCCCAGAGAATTCTGTTCTTTGTTCTGTTCTTTGTATTAAAGGCCAGCTCCTGCGGTGCCTGGGTGGCTCAGTGGGTTAAAGCCTCTGCCTTGAGCTCAGGTCATGATCCCAGGGTCCTGGGATTGAGCCCCACATGGGGCTCTCTGCTCAGCAGGTTGCCTGCTTCCTCCTCTTTCTCTCTGCCTGCTTGTGATTTCTGTCTGTCAAATAAATAAAATATTTTTTAAAAAAATAATAAAGGCCAGCTCTCAAGGAAAATTATCCTCTGACCTGAGGAAGGGCAATTAGCTATTAGCTAACTCCAGCCCCTTCCAGTCTTCCTGTCTCACCTATGAGGTGCCATAACCAAGAAAAACTTGTGAAGGTAACTGTCTGGGGTTTTTCCTGGGGGCACAGACCCACAGGAAGATGGGTGGCCTGATCAAGGAGTGGTGAGTGCTTCTCCCAGCACACTTCATCTACAGGTGTCTGTATTTCCTAGAAGTACAACTGCTAAATTTAAAAAATGACAATTTTCAAAAGCTTCTCGCACCCGTTGAAAAATTGCCTTTAAGGACTTCAGGCCAACTTATCCCTTCAGTAGTAGAACTAAAGCAATCCCATCCTACTGCCACCTCATCAGCCCTGAGTGTGAGGGTGGTATAAATGATCTAGTTGTGCTAATCGGAAAAGAAAAAATAGTAATATATGGTTTACTTTGCATTTTCCTGGCTTCCCTGTGAGAGTAAATATATTTCACATATTTGCTGCTTATCTGTATTTCTATCTCTCTGATATGTAAGTTGTTTTTGTTTTTTGTATTGGCAGGAGCTCTTTTTTTTTTTTTTTAAGATTTTATCTGTTTATTTGACAGGCAGAGATCACAAGTAGGCAGAGAGGCAGGTGGAGAGAGGGATGGGGGAAGCAGGCTCCCTGCCGAGCAGAGGGCCCGATGCAGGGCTCGATCCCAGGACCCTGAGATCTTGACCTGAGCTGAAGGCAGAGGCTTAACTCACTGAACCACCGAGGCACCCCTCTTTTTTTTTTTTTTTTAAGAATATTAGCAATTTTTGTGTCCTATCTGCTGCACATGTTTTCCCAGTTTGTTTTTCATTTTATGCTGCTTTTTAAAAAATTATTTCTTGTTTAAAAAAATTTCAAACCCACGGAGAAATGGAAATAACAGTTAGCCTCCCCTACCCTTCCCACAGACCACTGAGTGTTCTGTCTTGTTCCCCGGGCTCTATCTCTCCCTGTGACTAGGTTATAGTCACAGTCTACCCAAGCGGAATACACGTACTACAGTGTAACCGCCCACAACAGATGGGCTCCGGGATGTCTCATCAACTGAGGAAAATGGACCTTTTGATGGCCACTCACAATGCAGTACAAACCTCTTTTTCCCCCTCTCACTGATGCTCACTGTGATCTATTTGCTTTGTTCTTGCTTCCCCTTCTCAAGCCCTCATACAACAGAATACACAATGAAGATTTCCGCGGGTTCTGATCTTGTGGGTACAGACAGTAGTCACCCTCCCAGTGTCACCGACAAAGCGTGGTCGTTAAGAGTTGTGTGAGCCCTTATCATGAGCAATAAAATATTTAATATTCAGCTTGTCCCTGGATACCCTCCTGTGGTTATGTCCCCTGTGGTTCTGGAGGCCTCCTGGGAGTGGAGACTCCAACAACGGCACGAACAGCGGGGTCTGTGTGATGTGTTTTTACCGCGTTAGAATGTTCTGGAGTTTACTTGTGCAGTGAGTGTATGGATTCTATTGATTAATTTTCAATCGAGCCTGAGAAAATGGACAGGTGTCTTAAAAAGATTCCTGCAAAAAAACAGACTGTATTTTGAAGTCAATGAAAATGGGCATCAGTGAAAAATAAGAAAATGCCGGAACAGACACTTACTCATAGCCTGAGCTTTTCTGCCATAATAGAGAGCAAAAATGATGATAAACCAATCAAACTCATGAAACGTCTGCCAAATCTCCACCCATGATCACCAACTTAAAAATCATCCAGAAGACTGACTGAACTCCAGACTCCCGTTCAACCAGCATCCATGCTGAAGCCCCACGAAGTGTAGAGTGTGTTTCGGGTTATTAGTTACAGCCAATATAAAGCCATCACGATTGACAAGATAAAGGAACCAGAACATTATAATTAATAACCTTTTTTAGCAAAAGAAAATTTTGTGCTGTTAATAGAGTAAAATATTTTAAACTGTTTCATCTTGTCTCATTATTTAAATGTTCTTTTGTTGGTATATTTTATAATGTATTCACTCCCTAGGATAAGTATACAATTTGTAAGTAAATACATGTAATGGATGCATGCTCCATTTTTTAAACCAATGGCCATGTGGAATAAAAGGCCAGATCCAGCTTGTTCCAGCTCGAGACTCTGATAAGCTAAGTCTCCTCCTCCGGCCTCCGAGCAGTGTTGAGATAAGCAAGCTGTTCCTCAGTGAGTCCGGGCATCAATCATGTTAAACCAACTTCTTACTTGGGTATTCGGAACACTTTAGTCATGGAACCTCAGAAGAAAAATGCAATGAATTGGCCAGTCCCACTGCCCTCAGGCATAAGAACTTGAAGGAATTCTGCAAACAGTTTTGCATAGAAAGCTCCCAACAGAACATAGACTCTGACGCCAAGTCTATTCACGATAGTCTCTTGGGAACCCCCCATAAGTTTAGAGTCTGGAGTGACTATCGACCCGGGAACACACCGGTCACAGACAACAATCCCTGATCTCCTGGCTCTGCTGTTTTCCATTTCCGTCTCCTGCTGCTGCTTCTCTTCCTCCCTGAGCCACTCTCCGTGAGTCTCACTCAGACTGCCAGGACCTGCCTGCTTACTTTAAAGATTTTTTTTTTTTTAAATTTGGCAGAGAAAGATCACAAGTAAGCAGAGAGAGAGGGGGAAGCAGGCTCCCCGACGAGCAGAGAGCCCGATGCGGGGCTCGATCCCAGGACTCTGGGATCATGACCAGAGCCAAAGGCTGAGGCTTAACCCACTGAGCCACCCAGGCACCCTGCCTGCCTGCTTACTTTAAAGACCTAGTTTGGAATTTTTCTCCAGTTTTCGACCTGGCTCCTATCATTTCATTTCCAAGTTGCATGGGCTACTTTAGCAGCACACACCCACAGCCAGGACGGAAATACTCCTGCAGGCTTGTTAGGCTCTACAAACGTGCCAGGCTCCCATCTTCCTGTCGGGAGGACCCGAGATCATACTATTGTCTTGAATAGGAGGGAAAGGATCCAAGGACTACTTCTGGGAGCCAGCTCCATGCCCCAATTAATGGTGAAGTCTTCTTTTACTCTTCCAGACCCTATAAGGGGCAAGGACAGTCCTTGGCAAGGGAGAAGTGTAGAAGAAAGGTCTTTGCCTGAACCTCTCTGCTTTGTTCTCTGTGGCTGTAATTGCTACATAGTTCTCTCTTTTCAGCTATCATAACTTGCAAATCGGCAGCCCAGACTCTCTGTTCTTTGCCAGGACGGAAGAACAAAGAGAAAGCCAGAGACAGGCCAGAACTTCATCAGAGTTCACGACAGTCAGCCGTCTCTTCTCTGGTTTGCTTTCCCAGACCCCTCAATTCTGAGGCTTTCCTGCTTGATGTGCTTATATGTTCAGTCTTTGGCCATAGCCTACACCAGATTGTCGGCTGCCATCTACAAAGGCCTCACACCTTGCCTGTAGGGTTCCCTTGATTTCAAACTAAGAGCCAATCAACATAAGTTGGGAAACTGACCTCCAATATTTTCTTCTCCAAGAATCCCTTTTATTATTTTCTTTACAGATACCTTGTTTTAAAAGATTATGAATATTAACCTATTTTCAGGTCTTTTTTTTTTTTTTTAAGCTTTTATTTGTCAGAGAGAGAGAGAGAGCAAGAGAGCACAAGCAGGGGAAATGGCAGACAGATGCAGAGGGAGAAGCAGGCTTCCCGCTGAGGAGGGAGCTCGATGTGGGGCTGGATCCCAGGACACTGGGATCATGACCTGAGCCAAAGGCAGATGCTTAACGACTGAGCCACCCAGGTGTCCCTCCAGATCATTTTTTTAATTCCAAGATTAAAAAATTAAAGATATAAATGATGAAAAACTAGACAGATGAGGGAAGGGTTGTCCCTATAGGGGATGACAGATGCCTGTGGCACTCCTTTATGTGGTGGAAAGAGGGACAGATGTCCTCAAGGCTCTGCTCTCCACTACTGAATGTTGGAACTTGGTTATGTCAATAGATTTCCATGTTTCCTTGTGTACTATTTCTGTAACGACCTCACAATCTGATACTAATCACTTATGCTTAGTATATATTTACAATGCAAATAGGGCTATATGGTTTTTAAGCCTAGCACAACCTTACACTACATATACTCAAATTCAGGAGGCCAACTTGTAAGACGTTCCAAGGCAAGGCAATTTCTCTCTAACTCAAGCCTAATTTTAATAAGTCATCTCTTAGGATGTATTACATTATGAGTATTTCAAGCAAGTTTTATTATTTTTGGTTTGTTTACCCTGGATACCCAAATCATCTTTATAATAAAGCACATAAAATGTGTTTAAAAGTGTAAAGAAAGTAGCATGTGATAAACTTCATCAAAGTTCAAATTCTGCCATTAAATAAAAATGGGTTTGCATTAAAATATTTCCTTTATGACAATTATCATATGATCTCTCTGATATGAGGAACTTGAGAAACAGGCCGGGGGGTTGTGGTGGGTAGGGAAGGAAAAAAATGAAACAAGATGGGATCGGGAGGGAGACAAACCATAAGAGACTCTCACAAAACAAACTGAGGGTTGGTTGGGGGAAGGGGAGATGGGCTGGCTGGGTGATGGACACTGGGGAGCATATATGCTTAGGTGAGTGCTGTGAAGTGTGTAAGTCTGATGATTCACAGACCTGTACCCCTGGGGCAAATAATACATTATATATTAATAAAAATAATTTAAAAATATTTCCTTTAGGAGTTGAATTTTGGATACCTTTTACAAAAAAAAATAGTAACACCAAAACTAGGACCCTGAAGTAATTGATATGGTGTCAAGTATTAGAAGGCAAGAAGAGTAACCCGTAATAAACTTCATCAAAGTTCAAATTCTGCCATTAACTTCTTATACAAACTAACTGAAATTCGTAGAATAGATATGAACAAAGCCTAGAAGATTTTGTCTTTACAGTCACCTGACCTGAGTGGGAAAAGTTAATTTTTTTTATTGTACTTATTTAGGACTCCAAAATGGCTATTTTACTTACCACTTGGAAGCTCGAGGAGAATATAAATTATCACCATCAACAGGCGTTGTTAACACATGATGGTTTACAACATTTAAATACTTCTCGATGTGAATCTGTTACAGGAAAGTTAAAGTTTAGGCCATTATAGTGGACTTAAGATACTCAGCTAATTTACTTTATTTCATTAGGGTAATGCTTTGAATTGTGTAATTAAGTTAAAAGACACAAGATGCTATGCGTTTATTGCATGCCTAAGGTATCATTGGGCATCTCGAGGCTAAATGACTTTATCCCAAAAACCATAATAAACAATTGAGACTCAGAGCTTGAATGACCTGTAGCACTCTTCACAAATTAAACGATGCACAACCATCAGTAAATCGCTTAGCCAGGTAAGCTTACTAGGCAGGACAGATATGGAGTAATAGGGATTTCAAGGAAGCATCTGGGGCGAGACTCTGGCCCTTAGGTAACAGATTATTCAAAATGGCCAACCCAAAGACTCCAGCTGAGTGCAGCCGTCTCACCGTCAAGTTATATAGGACAATGGTGTGCCAGTTCCATGAGGCAACAAAACACACCACATCGCTCACAGCCTGAGGAGCTGGGCTGTGAAGCTCACAATGTGGGAGAGTGGAAGTCTTACGCCAGAGCAGAGACAGTGACAGTTCGAGGTCTCAAAGATGGAGATGGTCCTTATTTGGACACATGTGCTATGATCCTTGTTTCTTGCTTTCTTTTTTTTTTCCTTTTTAAGATTTATTTATTTATTTATTTGAGAGAGTGAGTGACCAGGGGGAGAGGGGTGAAGGGAGAGGGAGAGAGAGAATCCCAAGCAGACTCCCCACTGAGCATAGAGCCCAATGCGGGGCTCGAACTCACGACCCTGAGATCATGACTGGAGCTGAAATCGAGAATCTGACGCTTACCTGATTGAGCCACCCAGGTGCCCTTAGATCCTTGTTTTATAAGTGAATATTATCCTGGTCTGAAGACTGGATTCTCCTCTGCCCTTCAACCCATCTATAATGATGAAGTCCCTGTGTCCTTTATCTCACCCTTCCAAAATTGTAGGTACATCTCTTTAGCTTTATCTACTGGATTATAATATCACAAAATGACTAATCTCAAAATACATAAGCTATTTAGGGAAAATAAACTCTTTTCCTTTAGAATCCCAGTGGATCTGATAGTAACTCTCTGCAATGTATTGCTTTGAATCCTTTTTTGTTGGGAATATTGTTAGACTAATGGTTATTTTAAACATTCTTAATGCTTTTTATCAAACCACATGTTAGGGGTTATCACTGCAGAATCTTATATTCCCAACACCTTAAATTCTTTGTGGAATGTGACAGGATGAAAACCGATCAGTTAATAATCGTAACTTTAATAAAAGGGACAGAATGAGAAAGCTGCTGACCAACCGAAGCCCATCTCTGTTACAGAATTATACAGGGTCCTATGAGAACGACAGTCCTTTTCTTCTAGAGGAATCTTTGTCTCCTTCCAGCACTTTATTTACTGTCTAAAGCTGTACTCACTCTTAATCCCATTTCAGTCCTTTTGATTGCGGTTTCAAGATTCTGAATGTTTAGAGCCTCTCCTTTTTCCTCCAGTGGGAAATTTGTTAATTTCTCTTTTAACTGATAAAGGTCTTCATGGACCTGTAGGTATAAAAAATACAAAATATTGAAAGAATACATACAGAATTCACCTGAAACAGTGATTTATTTTAAGATTTGCAATTTGCTTGCATGTCTAGAGACAGCCTAGATTTTAGGATGTTCGTCGGAAAGGACTGTCTTCATGATTCTAAGATATTCTTTATTAGAATGTTGCATTATTGTCTTTCAGATTTCAAGAAACTAAGCTTTCATACAGTTTTACTCTTTTTCCTTCCCCTCATTAGAAACAAATCCAAGAACTACAATTCAAATCACTTCAGCTCCATAGCTGGTAAGAAGTATGAGCTGATACGAAGTTTGCATCAAACTCGGATGTCTACTAACTGGTTAAGAGGTAAGAAAACAGGAAAGTTCTAGCAATGAGAGGTTTTAGTGAAAGCAAAGCCTTTCAGGGGTGCCTCGGTGGCTCAGTCAGTTAAACATCTGACTCTTGGTTTTGGCTCAGCTCGTGATATCACAGTTGTGAGATCGAGTCCTCCACTGGGCTCTGTGCTCAACATGGCATCTGCTGAAATTTCTCTCTCTACTTCTCTCTCTGCCCCTCCCTGTGCATGCGCACACTCGCGCGTTCTCTCTCTCAAAGCAAGCAAGCAAGCAAGCAAGCAAGCAAGCAAGCAGAGCCTTTCAAAAGGGAATTGTAAACAGGTTGACAGGGCCCTTTGGTTTTCCATTTTGGCTGGATCTTCCCCACGTACTGCTCTTGAAGAAGCAGTTCTGTAGGTGTGTGGCCTTGATTCCGTTTTACGTAGTCAGAAATGGAAATGATCGGTGAAGAGAAAGCAGCGTGCATTATCACCTCAACATTTTCCTCCAATCTGTATTCTCTTTGGAAATGATGAACGTCTCTCTAATGTCGATCACCCTCCCAGGAAATTGGGTGCTATGAAATTAGACATCACAAGATTCTCTGCATTCATATCAGAAACCAAACTTCAATAAATACAGATGGCACCAATTATTGTATGGGTTGCTGCCACAAGAAAAACATTTTGTTATGCAAATTTATGAACCCAACACCTGTTTCATCAATAGTCACACCAATAACTATCTGCAGACTGGGTTGCTAAAGGCATTTTGAAACAGTTACCTTTCCTCTGTTAGCATAACTGGACACACAAACGTTGATCCGGCCTGTGTTATCGATTACTTTGGAAAATTCCCATGAAGCCAAGTATTCAAAAGATCAGAATTTGCATCTTTTCACTGATGGGCATCACAGTCTGGTAGACACATCTGGTCATTTGTGCTCTGCACAAATTGTCATGGAAAGCCTTCAGGGCTCACAGATTGAAATCGGAACACACCTACTGTTTGCTTGTAGGCACTAAGGATGAAGATGTACTTCTTTCCATTGTTTTGTCCAAGTTACTGCTACAAGCTGATTTACCATCTATTGTCTAAAGGCATTTGCGAAGTACAAAGAGGCGGTTCAAGGCAAGGGCCACTTTCCAGACCCACATTTCTTGGTTCTTCCTTAGAATGCACTACATTTCCTTCTTGTAGCTCTATTATTTGTGGTATTTGTAACTTCACGTATCATTCTGTATTTATGCCTGTCAACAGCTGGGGGAGTGAAACTGTCCTGGATTATTTATCATGGAACCAAAGGGCTTCTTTCTTTATCTGCCCTGTGTGGGCAATTACACTTCTACCCAGAGTCGTGAGATAATATGTAACAAGTCTAGTACATAGTGAGGGCCCAGTAAAAGGCAAATGGACATAATTCCTTGCTTTATTGCTGGTCGCATGATGTCCACACACGTTTTCTCTGATTTCTTTACCACGGGAGAAAAAAAAAAGAGTTATTCTACCTCATTAAATTGTTGAGTAAAAATAAGGCAATATGTGTGTGGAAATGAATGAATGTAGGCTTTGGAACCAGGCAGATATGAACTCGAATCCTATTTCCTCCTTTACGGAGCCTGACACATTTACTTAGGGTTTGAGAGACTTTGGTGCTTTCTTGAAAGGGGGCTAAACAGCTACCTGTTGGAATAGCGGCCAGAATAAAATGAGTTCAAGTGCAGAGAGAATTTCATACAGGGCCAGCCACGTAGGAGGGCACCGAACAAATGTTAATGCTCTTCCTCTGAATTGTCAAGCCCAGTGAAACTCCTTGCTCATAACTGGCACTTAATAAACGTTCATTGATTTGAATTGCTCTCTTCCTCTTCCTCAAGAGTTTTTCATTTTCCTGCCAGATATTTTCTTCTCTCCTCTCAATAACCACCCATCTGTTTGTATAGTAATTACAATAGGGACAAGTACTGTAGGAAATGTGTCACCAGACTTGGGTAGGAACAAATCTCTGTTCTTTCTTCAAATGGATCCTGTCTACCATATTGAAATGTTACGTGTTCCCCATTATCTCTATGATTATCAAATGCATTGCTTTCCATATATTTCCTACTTGGAGGACAGTGTGGGGACAAGGCTGCTTAATGAGAGGGCTTTGAAAGATTTAATGCAGTGAAGATTTGCTCTAGAATTTGGAAGTCTAGCCATGCAATCAGATTCCATGTTGTCAAAAGCAGTTCCATAATTGTATTTTATCCATCTCTGCTAAAGATAGAGTTTGGCTGACTCATTCTCATCACACTTTGCCCACTTGCGCCTTCATTTTTTATATGTTCCTGGCAGACCAGATGGAGGAGTAGATAAGAAAGATAGCGATAATACCAAGCTGTTGATTAGTTCCAATATTGCCAAAGTTGGTGTTAACATAAAACAGGATTTCCAATAATAATTAAAAAGCTAATTTTGGTTGCAACCAGATTATCTTTGTTGCACAAACATTTGTTTAATAGTTGGGTCAAGTAAGCATTTTAAAAGATGTAATAAAAAGATATCACATGATCATTAATAAAGTCGAAACAGAAAGCTTGTAAGAGTTATCAATAAAAGAAACACCAAGGAAACCTCCCGGACACACAGCCCCACTTCTTCAAGACTGTTTTACAAACATGCCATGACCTGTTTCTCTCTCCTCTTGGGCAAGTTACTTCAGCTTTTTGTACCTTAGTTTCTTCTTCTGTAAACTGGGGCTAAATATGACACCTGCCTAGCAGAGTTACTGCAGAGTGTTTCACTGTCAATAAAGTGGACTACTGTTTCAATTATAACAGTGATTATCATCACTATAGTTAGAACCCCACTGTTCTGATCAGTCGAGGAAAGATCCACCTGAAACCATAAAAGGTTTGAATGACAGAATTAAAAGTGAAAAAAGTTAAACAGTTAACAAAAGGCTGCCTAGTAGAACTCTGTGTGGAGATAGCAATCACGTGTCCTGAATCAAAAATGAAAACATGGGCATTGGGATGGGATCAGAAAGTAGGACAGAATATTCAATGTTTGTATGTCCTAGGAAATCCAGACATACAAAGCGCATGTTTTCATAACAAGTCACACAATGAGTTTATAATTAGAACACTGACTATCTGTATTTAAAGATTTTTTTCTCAAGTATTTTAGATATTTTATCAAAATATTTTATTATCAATTTGTATCACCTATTGTGCTTTCTAAATAATAGTGTGTGTTAGTGCAGCTACCTTCAGTTTTAAAGGGGATGTACATTCCTGGAGAATGAATTAATGAGGAGATCATTATCCAGTCGTTCAGGATCAATGGACCTAATTCTGTGCTAGGTAAAATGGGATCTCCGAAAGATCCAGGTGTAACAGGAAAACGAGGCATGCCTCATTTGCCCTATAGCATCACCCATGAAGTTTTAGTTAAGAATGGAGTATGCCGGGATGCCTGGGTGGCTCAGTTGGTTAAGCAGCTGCCTTCGGCTCAGGTCATGATCCCAGCGTCCTGGGATCGAGTTCCACATCGGGCTCCTTGCTCATCAGGGAGCCTGCTTCTCCCTCTGCCTCTGCCTGCCATTCTGTCTGCCTGTGCTTGCTCTCTCTCTCTCTCTCTCTCTCTCTGACAAATAAATAAATAAAATCTTAAAAAAAAAAAAGAATGGAGTACGACTGGTTAAAAAGACAGGCTAAAATTAATTTTTTCCTTATCTTCCAGTAAAAAGCAGGCTCCTCTTAAAAAGACTTAGAAATGAACAGAAAACTAAGTAATATTAAAAGGCAAGAGACCAGATCTAATAACAACTCACATCTATTGAGTGTTACACATTATATGTTACCCAATATTTTAACCCTTACAAGACTCCTACGGGGGACTTCATATTATCATCTTTATTTTTACTTGAGGGAATCCAAGGTTTAAAGTGGTTAAGTACCCTGTGCCAGGTAAGTTAGCTGGTTAATTGGGGAACTCTTCAAATCCGGGCAGTCTGAATCCAAAGCCTTCATGCCTAACCACTAACCAGTATGTGCATAATATCTACAAATATACAAACGTGTATTTATAATTATACAAAGCTAAAGGCTGGTGAAAATTCAGTGGAAAAGGCAGGATTTAAATATTGAGAGGAGCAAAAGGGCCAAGGGAAGAATTTTTTTTTTTAAGAATTTCTTTTTTAACTGGGTTGATAGATTGAAAGGGTTTGAGAAGATCATTTGCATTTTTCTATGTATAGGGGTCTGCCCGCAATACTCATCTTTGATGGTTTTTTTTTTCCATAATGTGAAATAATAATAGTCCTTATCGGATAGCTTTGTTGTAGGGGGTTAAATGCCTTAAAATATGTACAACACTTAGAACTGTGCACAATACCCAGCAAATACTGTTCGCTTTTATTATTGGGATTTTTCTTGGAAATTATATTACAGTTTATATTTTTACAATACTATCTAAGGTAGAAGGTCTCAGAATTGGGCATGCATCACAGTTAACTGCAAGGGTACCCCCGGAACTCCTGATTTAATAGGTCTAGAATGAGGTCTGAGAATTTGTGTTTCTCATGAGTTCTCAGCCAGTGCTGAAGATACTGGTCCTGGGGCCACTCTTTGAGAATCACTGGTCTAAAAAGTTGTTTAATGTATCTGATTGAAACACAGGCCTGATATACCCATTTAAGGTGAAGCAGGTAGAGATTTGAAGTGCCTCTGTTTTCTGGCAACTTTGTGTGTGTGTGTATTCTATATATATAAATTTATGATATATTAATATATTATTATATTATTATAACTTATATATATCAAACATATATAAGTTGATAGAAACAATTTGATTGCCTAGGCTGAAAATTAAGGAAGACCACTTTGTGATAAAAAGAAATTTTTGTAGCTTTGGTAAATTGGGTCAATTTAGAGTCAGAGGTAGATCTAATTCACTCTATGTATCCTACAGAAGAGAACACTTAGGCCCAGAGCGGTGAAATGATTAGCCTAAACTTATCCACCTGGAAGAATGTCATTGCCAAGGTCGGTCCTCAGTATTCTGACACCCCACAGAGTGCTTCCCTCTAGAGGTACTGCTTATTTGTAGCCTGGTTGAAGGACACAAATCATCGCCCCAGGTAGAAGTGGAATCCGTGCTGTGTGCCCGAGAATAGTGCTGTATGTTAGAGATGCTCCGGACTCGGTGAGAAAGTAGGGAAAGGCTTCCTTATTTCCTTGTTATGTATATTCTCCATATTACCGGGGAGAATGTTCTGAGTCCAGAGACCAGCCTCAGTAATCAGGGTAACACGCAGGCTTGCTCTCTCTACACTGCCTTCCACTTACTCTGTCCAGAATAACCCTTTTCAGCAGACAGAGGTACTGAGCAACATGGATGTGACTGTTCCTAGCTCTCCTGCTCTGTTTTATAATCCGATGACGACAGACACTGACCCTGTAATGTTGTATCCTAGGCTGACCGAATAGCTACCTCTGGATCCTACTCTGAAGTGAAAAGGCTTTTGGCTTTTCAGCCGATCCCCTATTCTACATTATTCCAAACCACAAGGGGAGAAGACCTGGGAAAAGAATTCTCCTAAGGGAAAGTGTGAAATTAGGTGAGAGAATTCTCCCTGGATTCTGGTCTCTTTTTTAGAGATGGTCCAGGTCTGGGGAAAATAAGAGAAAACTAAGGAATAACCTAATTGTTCTTATAGTCAACACAAAGTGTACCGTGGGGGGAAAACTGGCTGTTTCTGGGTAGGAGTCTCTAACAGTGTTCCAATTGTTTGGAGCCTGTAAACACGGGCCCTGCATTTAGAGGGGGTATATGTAGTAAAGAATCAGCTTTTCCCAATGAGAGTTCTGACCTTTGCCCTTGGATACTGGGAGGTGATCTCTAGGGCCCTGGAGAGTCCTGCTTGATAAGTGTCTTTGCTTGGGGGCTTTGGTCACCAGATAATTTAACAATGTGATTTATGCTGGGGGCTTTGAGCCACATGGTATCTGTTCCAACCTCTAGAGGAACTGGAGTCTAAAGGCATTAGTGTGACCTCTGGGAAGGGCTCCAGATGAAAGGTCAGAACTTGGGCAGTGTGTGATTAAGTCCCAGTAAAAACTCTGGACATCAAAGTCTTAGGTGAGCTTCCCTAATTGGTAATATTCTGGGTATATTGTTACACATCATGGCTGGGAGGAGATAAAGCCATCCATGACTCTACAGGGAGAGGATGACTGGAAGCTCCATTTGGATCCCTCTTGGATGCTGCCCTATTCATGCCTTACCTTGGCTGGCTTTAATTTGTATCCGTTTAGTGTTATAACACTGTAATTATAAGCATAGCACTTTCCTGAATTCTGTGTTGCTCTAGAAATTAGCCAGTGTGAAGGTGGTCAGGGGCCCCCAAATTTGTAGATAGCAGGCCTGAAGTGAGCTTGACTCTGGGGACTTCTGAACTTAGGCTGGAGTAGAAATGAGGGCAGTTTTGTGGGGAATGTTCCCTCAGACTTTGCAGTCTGCTAAATTCATCTAGGGTGCTAGTGGCAGATGATAACAGAATGTGAGGTAAGAAGATTTGGGTATTAGTCATAATGGGGAACTCTATGAAACTGGTGAGTTTAAGGGTTTATATTTTGAAAAAGATGCATTTTTTTTTTTAAGATTTTATTTATTTATTTGACAGACAGAGATCACAAGCAGGCAGAGAGGCAGGCAGAGAGAGAGGAGGAAGCAGGCTCCTTGCTGAGCAGAGAGCCCGATGCAGGGCTTGATCCCAGGACCCTGAGATCATGACCTGAGCCGAAGGCAGCGGCTTAACCCACTGAGCCACCCAGGCACCCCTGAAAAAGATGCATTTAAAGCAGTCTCTCCTAGATGAGAGGTAAGAGACCAACATCCTGGCAGGAAAATCCACTGTAGATCTGAGTGAGAGTCCAAATAGAGTGAATTTAGGCAAATTACTTCAAGCCCTGACAAATGGAGCTAAATACTAGTTAAAAGTGATGATTTATGCAGAAATGTTTTAAAACTACCATAAATAAATATGAAAGAACAAAAATTTTATGGGAAAATATGAGTATAATTATCACAAACTGAGTTATACTGGAGAAGTTAAGACTTTTTTTTTTTTATATTTCCCCCCTTAGGTTAGAAAGAGTCATTTCCAGGAGGTTTTTTTGTTTTTGTTTTTTTTTGTGGCACATTTATATATTCAATACTTTATTTAACTTGCTAGGCAATCCAAGTTATCTTTATTATATTTTTCTTTGTGTGTTCCCAAGCCAGGGGCTTTTAATTCATTTATTTATTTGAGATATAATCAACATATAACATTATATTTCAGGTATACAGCATAATCAATATTTGTATAAACAGCAAAAATGATCACAAGTTTAGTTGACATCCATAATCACAGTTATAATTTTTTTATGATGAGTACTTTTAAGATGAATTCTTTAAGCAACTTTCAAATGTAAGAGTTCAGTGTTATTAACTACAGTCCCCATGTTGTATATTACATCCCCAAGACTTATTTGCAAGGTACTTTCAGATCCAAAAAATTTAGGTGCCTAAGAAAAGTGGTTTACCTATTTCAACTTCTTTCCAGATTTCTTATCATCTCCCCAAAGTGTCTGACTTGTATTTGCCCCATATCACGGGTTCCAATTTTTCAGAACTAACATTTTAAAAAAGTGCCTCAGTGTAAGATGGATTTTCGAAAGTTAAGGTTCTGGGGTGAGGTGTATGGTTTTGGAGTTTTGCCAGAGGCAAAATGGTCGAGCTTCTGGAGGGAAACGTCAGGGGAAGATACGGGGTGTGGGGTGGGGCGTGTTAGGCTCTCAGCGGAGGTCTAGGTGGGCATATTTGGGAGTTCTCGGAGGGGTCGTGCCCTCTGCACGCAGGAGGTAGTCTAGGAACGGTACTCCTAGAGGGTGGGCGCCAGTGGATCGGCGCGGCTGGGCCTCGCGCGGAAGTGTCTTAGCTGGGGCAGGGCCCGGAAGGGCCCGTTTCCCACCTGGATTAGGATGGTTCCGATGGGGTCGTAGTTCTCATTCTCCTGTGCCATGGCTAGGGTCGGGGAGTACCACCTCTCCGAGAAGCGGTCTCTGAGCGCGGAAGCCCGGAGCCTGGAGCGCCCGTCCCCATGGCAACTCCACGCGCAGCCCAGCCTGTTCTACGCCGGGAGCGGAAGAGGGGGTGTGGGAGGAGTCAGAGCAAACCGGTTCCTTCCGTCGACGCGCCCTTCTTTGCGCGTCTCCCCCGCGCGCCGGCGGCCGTGGTATAGCCCAAGGCGGAAGCGGCTCTCGGACGCCACTGGCTCGCGAGCGCAGCTATGGCTGCGGGCGTCCCCTGTGCGGTTGTCACCAGCTGCTCCTCCACCTTCTCCGGGGACCGGCTGGTCCAGCGTGAGTAGCGGGGCTCCTGGGCCGATGTCCAAGTCACCCCAGTCTCGGCGGGCTCCGGCCTCAGAACCGCGGTCTCCCTGTCGGCCTTTGTCGTCGCGGGCCCGGGGCTTTTCCTTCACTGCGCCGGGGCTCGCGGCTTCTCGGGTGCTGCTTCGACCCGGTGCGGGTGTCCAGGCCCCGCAGCTGCCTTCCCCTAGCTCTCACACTCGTTGCTTGTCTGCCGGCCCAGCGCGTTGTTGCTTTTCTTCCGGCTTTTTCTGCAAAGTGGGACTCATCCCTGCCCCGCCCAGCCCACGGGTCGTTGCGGGCTCCTTTGAGCTGAACCGAAGGGCGCCCTGGAAATTGTACCGAGTTACTCGGGTGTAAGGTGCAGAAACTGGGATGCTTGTTGCCGTCCCTGCCCCCGAGGTGGACAGTAGGTTTCCTCTTGCCCCCCCGCTTGATGTGTATGATTTAACCTTGTGTCTTCCACTGCAGTTGTTGTCTGCCGTGCCTTCCTCCTGAGGCGTAGGCTTTCGGGCAGCGTTAGCTTTTGGGTGTTCCTGGGCCTAGTTTGTTGGCTTCTGGACCTTCGCTGTCAAACTAAAGAACTCTTAAAACTTAGGCGAGACCAGTGTTATAGACAGCACCGGACTGGGTCCCGGGCTCAGCTCTTTGAGTAAAGGATTCTGTGAAGTTGATTGTAACCCAGGACACCTGTTTTAAGCGCATGGCTGCGAGTCAGAGCAGTGACTCTCAGCTGCGTGAGAGTGAGTGCACTTAACCTCCACCCTGCGGTTTTCTTATCTGTAAGAAGGTGATGATGTTCACAGCATTGTGCTTAACTCAGAGGCTGGCATAGATTTGATAAATGGTAGTCATTGTTTTTAAAGCACATTATCTCTCTAACGCCCAATGTCCTGGTCCCCTAAAAATGGGGCATATGAGCCCATCTCACAGGATTATTTGAAGGACAGGTGACATTTTGAAAGCATTTCGTAAACTGTAAAGCGTCACGTGGCTATATATATTTTTTTCTGTACCTGTCGAGTGACAGGCAGGACGTCCTCCAACACATATTCTGTAAACTTAGTTATCACCTATGACCACTTAAAAAGTTCTTCGCCAGGGTAGAAATCTAATTATAGCACTTAGTAAATGAAGTAACTTCTCTCTGCCATTTCCTTACCCCTTAGTAGTGCTCCTTCCCGTTTATTCCCTTTCTTTTCTTTTTAAAAGGTTGTTTCATTGTAAAAGCATTTACATTTAGCATAACCAGAAAAGAGAATGTCAGCTATGATCTGTCTCCTCACCCAAACACAAATACTGTTAACATTTCTGTGCATTTCCTTCTAGTCTTTTTTCCCATGCTTATGTTAAAAAATTATAATTACATTTTGTACATAATTTTAGCCTATTTTATATATAACTTTTATGTTTTATACATTGTTTTTACATTTCGTATGTTAAAAATTTTAAATATTTTTGTTTTTAAATATATAAATATAAACATAATTAACACGTTTATAAAATATATAACAATTTATATAATTTATATTTTACATATAATATTTTTGTGTGTGTATATATACATATATTTATTTACTTATTTATTGAGAGAGAGAGAGAGAGGATGCACATGCGTAGGGCAGTGGAAGACAGAGAATCCTAAGCAGGCTCCACACTCAGCACAGAGCCCTGAGAGTGGAGGGGCTTGATCTCACCACCCTGAGATCATGACCTGAGCTGAAATCAAGAGTCAGACTCTTAACTGACTGAGCCAGCCAGGTGCCCCTGTGTATAATTTTTATCCTGATATTTTTCATTTAGTATTACATAATTTATGATCTAATATGCTTTCCATCATACTTTGCGTCTAGTGAATGTAAAATTTGCTCAAGATTCTTAAAATTCTCGGTGTATTTAACTTTATAAAATAATTACATGTATTTAGATTTCCATTACTGATATATAAAGGCCTTTCAAAGCCAGTCTCAAATATTTAAGTATTCTGATGGCTATGGTACTCCTCTGTGCACTTTAAGGATCAGAATTGGCAGACATGGTCACTTCATTGAAAGAGCTGATGACCTATAGTTGGCAAATAGTAACACTGTATTTCTTTAAAGTACATTGGCATCCTTAGGGGTAAAATTAATTCTGTAAAATAATCCACTTTTTTTTCTATATGTAAAATCCCTCTTAGTCAACTTTTGTGTTGATTAAAATTAGGTGGCCTTTCCTTTGTGATTCCATTAATGCTGTGTAGGGAAGAAATAAGAGCAGTTAGTAAAGACAGTACTTGTAAGGAAGGAGAAGGGAACTCGAACAGAGGGCTTTATCTTCTCTTCCCAGGTTTTTGATAGGGAAAGAGTGGGTAACACTAGACAGCAGTATTCGCTGAGCACCGATTCCATTTTATTATAATTAAGGATTGCCTTAAATTAATCATGAATGGAGTCTAATTTTGATGTAAGAGATAAAGATGACCAAATGAATGATGTTTGTCAAGTGTTCCATCGTATTAGGCCACAGTATGATTTTGGATTGAATCTGATCTTTTTGGGGAAGGTCTGGTTTCACTTCATTCATCAGGAAGAGGAACGTTAGGGTTTCTCCAGTTTCTTTCAACATCTCATCTGTTTTACCGCTTTTATCTAATGGGAGATATTTCATAATCAAATAAGTTTGTTGTAAATACACGTGAAATAAAAGCGAATAGGCCTCTGCTGTGGATAAAGAGCGTGCATGGATTTTCTGAAAAACTTTTACATTGTGTCACTCAAAGGCCTTATTTTCAGTATTTTGAGTGGGTCCAACATCAGATAAAGGGCATTTCAGACTTACATTGTAGACTTTTAAAGGGGAATGAAGGCTCAGGATGCTTGAGGACCTCAGGTATGAGAGCAAGTGTATGTACTCCAGGCCAGACCTCTTTCCACCTCAAATATATGCATATGAAGATTTTACTTTCATTCTGGGAAAGTATATTCTGATATTAAGCACAGAGCTGGTCTCTGTGCCAGTTACTGCAGCTAAAATGACAAGGTGCTATTCCTTCTCTTCAGAGAGAGCATGTGCGCTACTTGTTCATATATTAAAATGTGAATACCTAAGTTTTAACATTTTACACTACTTTCATAGAAGGAACTTTTATTTTTTATTTGTTTTAACTCCAGTATAGTTCATATACAGTATTTAGATTAGTTTCAGGTATACAGCATAGTGAATTAATGATTCTATACATTACTCAGTACTCATGAAGGTAAATGTACTCTTGGGACACCTGGATGGCTCAGTCGGTTAAGTGTCTCTTGATTTTGGCTCAGGTCATGATCACAGGGTCGTGAGATCGAGCCCTGCTTGGGGCTAGCGCGGATTCTGCTTGAGGATTTTCTCTCTCCCTCTGCTCCTCCCCCTTCTTGTGCGGAAACACTCTCTCTAAATAAATAAATAATAAATAAAATCTTAAAAAAAAATTAAGTGTACTCTTAATCCCCTTCACCTGTGTGACCCATCCCCTCACATACTTCCCCTCTAGTAACCATCTGTTCTCTGTAGTTAAGAGTATTTTTTGGTTTGTCTTTTTTCTTCATCATTTTTTCTTAAATTCCACATGTGAATGAAATCATATGGTATTTGTCTTTTTTGACTTATTTCGCTTGGTATTATACCCTCTAGATCCATCCATATTGTCACAAATGACAAGATTTCATTCTCTTTTTAATGGATGAATAATATTCCATTGCATATATATTCACTTCTTTATCCATTCATCTATCAGTGCACACTTGGTCTGCTTCCATAGTTTGGCTGTTGTTAATAATGCTGCAATAAACAGGGGTGCCTGTATCTTTCTGAACGAGCCTTTTTGTTTTCTTTCGTTAAATATCCAGTAGTGGAATTACTGAATCTTACGGTAACTCTATTTTTAATTTTTTGAGGAATCTCAATACCTTTTTCTACTCTTAGAAGGAGCTTTAGATAGAAAAGTCCCTGGAGACTTGCTTGATGTTGTTGAGATGTGTAATGCCCACTCAGCAACTGTAAGGCACTCAGGTTTTACATCTGAACATTTGGAGCAAAATTCTTGCTTTTAGCAAAATGTGGAAATTTGGAGATCTTAAAACCATAGCAAACATTTGTGTGTATATCAGTACTCTTCTCAGACGTGTTCTTAGGTCTTTTAATTTGGTTCTTATATCCCTGTGAAGTCATGAAGTCAGATTATCTCCATTTTCTAAATGAAGAAATCGTGGCTTGGAAATACCAGGTGACTTGGCCAAAGTGATCAAGTACTAAGTGTTGGAGCATATGTTCGCTTCAGGATTTGTTTGCACGGATACGTGAGTGCAATGTGTTCCTTATTCCTTAGCAATCAGAATTATTTAACTTTAAGATGGTGGCATTGGTGTAAGAAATGACAGAGAAGATTGACCCGTAAAAGAGTAAAGGTTTTAAAGTAGGAGGTTTTAAATAGAGGGTTTTGCATTTCTATTTAGGAGGTTTGAAATCTAAATTCTGAGTGAAGAATAAATAGCTTTGTCTAGAGGACCTATATTTATTTATTTATTTTTATTTTTAAGATTTTATTTATTTATTAGAGATCACAAGTAGGCAGAAAAACAAGCAGAGAGAAGAGGGGTAGGCAGGCTCCTCCCTGAGCAGAGAGCCCGATGCTGGGCTTGATCCCAGGACCCTGAGATCATATCCTGAGCCGAAAGCAGAGGCTTAACCTCCTGAGCCACCCAGGCGCCCCAGGACCTATATTTAAAAAGAGCATTATGTATGCCTGATAGTTTTGAACAGTATCTGGATTTTTATTTTCTCAGTTGAGTGTACTCATAGTAGAGGCATATTATATCTTAGTCACTCCTATCCAGGATTAACATTAAAAATAGAAAGTTATTCAAGATCATCTTTACCATCCCTTCTAGATATAAAATCCTGTTACCATGTTATTTTTATGCTAGATTATATAGCGCTTCTTACCTCAGGCATTCTTAATTTTTGTGTATGCA